AAAAGACAAAAGTCTAAGGTCTAGGATCACTTTGAGAAAATCAAAATTAAGAAATCTAATGGGGTCATTACATCAAAAAAGACTATGTAATTATTGTAAAAAAGATTTTGTTGGAGGCTCTAAAAATGGAACTAGTCACTTAACTAGACACCTAAAGACATGCTTATTAAAAGCTCAAACTGATATTAGACAAACAATATTATCACAATCTGTTAGCGCCGATACACTAAGCACTTTTAGTTATGAACCTGAATCTGCTAGCAAAGCAATTGTTAGATGGATTGTTATAAGAAATCTTTCATTTGTTCTTGTAGACGATGCTAAATTTGAAAGAATGTTACAAAGTGGTTTTAATCCTTCTTTCTGAAACTTTTCTCGTCAAACATGTCAAAGAGATGTTATTAAATATTACGTACAAGAAAAAAATAATTTAATTGTTTATTTTGATAATTTTAAAAGTGAAATTTGTCTGAATTTTGATATGTGAATTTTTTGCCAACAATTAGGATATTTATGTATAACTGCTTATTTTATTGATGATAATTGAGTTATGCAAAAAAAAATTATTACTTTTACAAGGATTGAAGATAATCATAGTGCACAAGTTATTTTTGAAGTTATTTATAATCAGTTACAAATTTAGTGTATTCAAAGCAAGATTTTTACTATTACTTTAGCTAATGCAACAAATAATAGTAGGCTATAAGTTATTTAAAATGTTATTTAACTTTACCATGTGAAAGTACTTTTTTTCATTTGAGATGTATGTGTCATATCATAAATCTCATAGTACAAAGTGGTCTCCATGATATTAGATTTGTAATTGATAAAATTAGACATATTATTTATCATATAATAGGTTCTGAAATAGACTTAGGAAATTTGGAACTATGTGTAAAAAGAATAATTTAAAATACAAAAAAATACCTTATAATGTACAACATAGGTGGAACTCCACCTATAAAATGCTAGATGTGGCAGTTGAATATAAAACTGTCTTAAATGATTATGTTAGTATAGATACAGAGTGTAACATTTGGGAATGGTGGTACACTTAATCCCCTCTTAGCTTCTAGTAATATTGTTGGTAGTACTAGTAAAGGTAAAGGTAAAACATTTATGCTAGCTTCAATTTTGACCAGAGGAGGTATGTTAACATCTAGGGGGTTAACTGAACTGCAGCAATATTACAATGCTCCATTGGTAGGTGTTGAAGATCTTGATTTTGATATTTTGTCTTGGTGAAAAGGATATGAAAGTAGGCTTCCAATTGTTTCCACCATGGTTCGTGATATACTAACAATTCCTATGTCGACTGTGGCGTCCAAATCTGCTTTTAGTACTGGTGGACGTGTCATTGATGAGCATAGGAGTTGCTTGGATGAAAAGACAAGATTAGTATGTCGCTGAAGCGAGAGGTCAAATTATGGAAATAAATCCCTCAATGCCAGAATTTGAAGTTTTAGAAATTTAGATATTAAGACTAATGTATTTTTTTTCATGTATTAAGTATACAAGTTTTTTATGTATAAAAACCTTTAATGGGTAGGTGCAACGTAGTTGGGATGTACTCATTTTATTGTGATATAATTTCTCTTTTATTCATAAATAAAACTATTCATTATTTAATTTTTGTGCATTTTTGATTTTGACTATACTTTTAATTCAAAAATATAATTTATAAAAAAATTAAATGAAGTTGTATATTTTTTCAATAGGGCCCAACAAGCCTGCCCAAAACAGGCCCTTAAAGCCCGCCCACCCAATAGGTGATGGACTGGGCAGCGGGTAGCTTACCGGAAGCCCGGTCCGTCGCTCACCCTAGTATGGGCTTGGGCCTACATTACCCAAGCCCGCCCCCGCTCCATGGGCAACCCTAATTATTAGGAGTAAGTATAGGTTACAAGTTAATGAGTGAGAATGCTAATAAGGTTGGAAGGGTAGTTTTCGCAGCGCGTGGAATACCATTTCTAAGGGGTTACCATTTTTTTCTCTAAGAGTCGAGTTCATTGTAGGTAGTGTAACAAGGGTGTGTTTTTAGGAGGATATTTGGGTCGGGGAGTCTTCTTTGTCCACTCTATTTCGTTGTATTTATCATATCTCTTGTTATTATGGTAATTGGATTGCTTCTATGCTTCGATCTTACTCTTATCCGATTTTGTGGATTTTGGGTTTCAAATGCTCGAAGCTGTTGGGTTTTCTTTCTATGCTCAATAATGTTATTTTGACCAGAAACTTGACAGATAGGAGGTGTTGGATTAGTGATCCAAAGTGTCTTTAAAAGTCCAAGTTTGTGCATGGATAATTATATAAGATCAATTCTAATGATGTTCTTCAAAGAATGAGACCCAATAATTACCTCCTTCCTCAATGGTGTGTTATGTGTAGTGATAACGAGAGCGTGGATCATTTATTTTTGCATTGTTCTTTGGCACGATGGTTTTGGAATTATTTTTTGATGTTGTGGGACATTGGTGGGTGGCACCCATGACCATGTCATGCTTGCATGAGAAAGCATGACAGGAATTTCAGCAAGGTAGAAGAGGAAAGACCTTTTGGCTTTGTGTGTTCTTTGCTACTATATGGTTTATTTAGATNTTTATCACAAATATGTTGATCCTGGAAGATTAATCAATCGAAATTCAAGTCTTTGCGTACAATGTGTGCTGTGTATTCTCTCCTCTTTGAATTTCTAATTTATTTTTTTCAAATTCTAATTGGTGATGCTTGTTTGACATATAAATGTATAAAACTAATTTATGAAAGAATCTCTTCAATTTTTAAAATATAAAGAGTAATGCTATTTCATGGCATAATAATATGACAGATAACATGGTCCAATTGTACTATTCTAAGGGTAAGTCTTTGGTATCAAAGGAGATAACAGTAGCCCCCAGCTGCCCAAGTCGGGGGTGTAGGAAGAATAGACTACTTACAGACATAACCTTTGAAATTATTTGCCCAGAGTGGCTATCCTAAAGTTTGAACCCACATATTAAAATTGTATCATTTGTGCCCTCCAAGACTCTAGAATTCTTCTCATGTCAATGGCTTAGATGATGTTCATAAAAGCACAGTGCCTAATGAATCTCTTGTGGGATAACCCAACCCATGAGACAAAGTCTTGGCTTTGAAGTAGAAAGCACATACCTAGACTACGAGCTTGATTGGGCCTCCTAGTTTGGACTTTGGAGCACCTCATGNTTTCTTATAGAAAAAAATGTTCTAACGTTTGAAATGGGTTGGATAAATTTCTCATAATTGCGATGAGTTTGAATGAAAATTTTGTAGGATTTGTATTTCCGTTGGATTATGTATAGCTATTTACAATTTTTTATACTATGTAACTAGAGGACCAAAACTAAAACTTGGATCCTTTACTATTGACTAAGAACGTTATAAGTGGCTCTAGGGATTCTTATATTATTGCGACACCTTGTTAAAATCGATTATGGGGCTTAAAAATAATACATGTCATTTCCTTGTACTATGTTGATTCTATAATTGTCGTATCTGATTATGACTGTTATATTATACATCTCATTAGGTTATAGTAAAACAATATGGCATAAACCTTCAAATGTTAATAAAAAAACTGAGATTATCTAGGGACGCAGAGAAATGAACGGAGAGATTTTTCTTGTCTTCTTTTCATCACAAGATTGTGGTAATAACTTTACGAGAATTTGTTTGGACTGAATCTAACTAGGTTTTAATGTACTTATTGATTTTTGTTGATATACAATGATGGGGAAGGGGAATCGAATCTGGTTTGTCTAGGTCATCACTGGGGACACTTTGCCATTGGGACAAAATTGTGGTTACTCAAATGTTTTTGTTGATACAAAACGAGAGCTTCAATAGAAAGAAATCAAGGATTAAAAGGGTGGAAGGATGAGAGCAATCCTTTATCCAATAGGAAAAAATGAAAAAGGCAAATCAAGAAAATTGTATATTAAAGCTTCTACGATCCCAAGAACACCCACTCTCCTCAAGGTGGAAAAAAATGTCCTTTAAATGAAAAAGCCTTCTCTTAGTCAAGTTGCTTTCTTCCAAATGATTTATCTTAGAATGCATGACATAACTGTGTGCAGAGTAGAAGTATAATCTATTCTCTCTCTCAACATTTGTCACAAGAACCAAGGACTTTCATTTTTTTACCACACCTACTACTCTATTAGAGTCATCTTCCATCAAATAATGGTGAAACACCATAGAGTGGGCCTGGCTAGGGCCCTTCTAAAGCATCAAAATCTCTGTTGTGATGGCATAATTGTAGTTGTTGGTCTAGTATACAAGAGAATTGTATTTCCTTGGAAGTCCCATAAGAAACCCTCGAATCCTTTTGTAAGGTTGAGAAGTAGCTACCGCCATGCACTTTCGAACTATAGAATCGAGGGGCCATCATTTAATTTTTTTTGCTAAGGAATTCCACAGGAGATTCACAAAAAAAAAATATGAAAAAAGAGCTTTCAGTTTGGTCTCCATTAGTGGAAGTAGGGGCGGAGCCAAGTTTCATATGTAGCGGGGGCAAACTATAACTAGTAGTCATATTATNTAACAACCGTGAATTTATGGGTTTGTATGCTTCATAATCTAATATTGCCAAAAGGTACTACGTAGGTTTTGTATCTGGTCCACCCCTTCTAGAATCCTAAATTGGGTAATAACATCATTAGCTTCTCATCTTTATACTGGGATTCACTAACTTATCCCATGTATAAGTTCTTTAACTGTCACTTTTAGATTATGAAGCATCTCTCAATTGCCTCTTCAAGTTAATCCCTTCTTTTCTTGATGAAAATATATATTGCTCATCAAATGATGTAAACCATGTGATTGTGAATTTTCTGACCAGTTTTCTGGTTTGATTCATCTGTTACATTGGTTGCTTGGGTGGCTCATTATGATTATTTGGTGGTGTCAATTTTGTTCCTTGCTGCAAGTTTGGATTCTATGTCAGATAGGCCTTCTCTCACATCTCCACTAAAAATATGCTGATGCACAGGCATGAAACTCCTCAGGTTGAAATATCAAATGCACATGATAACAGCGTTTGGGATCTTGCATGGCATCCTATTGGATATATTCTTTGCAGGTATCATTAATCTGATTTTATCAATGTTTTCTAGTGCTCAATGCATTTTTTGTTCATTGCATTTACGTTTGTTAAATATTCTGTTCTTTATAACTTTTAGGCATCAGGGATCAAAAATTTGTTTATGTGTATAGTTTGGTGAGCATGGAATTGGAAATTTTTTTGTAATGTTTGTAAGCATTTTGGAAACAAGATGAAAACAAAAACATAGGTCGAAAAATGTCAAAACACTTTGACCGTTCAAAACGTAATTTAGTTCCTTGTTAGGCATAACTATAGTTTAATGCTTCTTTATGTGTGCTAAGGTAATATTTGTCTTGGCCTTTGATTGTTGTTAGGGGTAGAAATTGCGCGTTCGGATCTTATCCCTGATCTCAAGGATTTCGGCTGACCTTGCGTGTGCCAAAGCGACCACCCAATAGCCTTTACCTCTCAGTGCCCGTGCGGAACTTCGTCCCACATCGACTGAGAATCGTCTCCCCCACCCCCTTATAAGCCTGAGCCCCTTAGGGATGGGTACCCACTAGCGACCTGATCAGGTGCCTAGTGGGTACCCATCCCTAAGGGGCTCAGGCTTATAAAGGGGTGGGGAAGACGACTCTTAGTCAATGTGGGATGAAGCCCCGCACGGGCACTGAGAGGTAAAGGCTATTGGGTGGTCGCTTTGGCACATGCCAGGTCAGCCGAAATCCTTGAGTTCAGGGATGAGATCCGAACGCGCGATTTTTATCCCTAACAAAAATGCGCCTTACGGTGGACATGATTGCCTCTCTCCGTAAGGCGCCTTTTTGTTAGGGGTAGAAATCGCGCATTCGGATCTCACCCCTGAATTCAAGGATTTCGGTTGACCTGGCGTGTGCCAAAATGACCATCCAGTAGCCTTTACCTCTCAGTGCCCGTGCGGAGCTTCGTCCCACATCAACTGAGAGTCGTCTCCTCCACCCCCTTATAAGCCTGAGCCCCTGTGGGTACCCATCCCTAAGGGGCTCAGGCTTATAAGGGGGTGGGGGAGACGACTCTCAGTCGTTGTGGGACGAAGCTCCGCACGGGCACTGAGNTTATAACTTTTAGGCATCAGGGATCAAAAATTTGTTTATGTGTATAGTTTGGTGAGCTTGGAATTGGAAATTTTTTTGTAATGTTTGTAAGCATTTCGGAAACAAGATGAAAACAAAAACATAGGTCGAAAAATGTCAAAACACTTTGGCCGTTCAAAACGTAATTTAGTTCCTTGTTAGGCATAACTATAGTTTAATGCTTCTTTATGTGTGCTAAGGTAATATTTGTCTTGGCCTTTGATTGTTGTTAGGGGTAGAAATTGCGCGTTCGGATGTTATCCCTGAACTCAAGGATTTTGGCTGACCTGGTGTGTGCCAAAGCGACCACTTAGTAGCCTTTACCTCTCGGTGCCCGTGCGGAATTTCGTCCCACATCGACTGAGAGTCATCTCCCCCACCCCCTTATAAGCCTGAGCCCCTTAGGGATGGGTACCCACTAGCGACCTGATCAGGTGCCTGGTGGGTACCCATCCCTAAGGGGCTCAGGCTTATAAGGGGGTGGGGAAGACGACTCTTAGTCAATGTGGGACGAAGCCCCGCACGGGCACTGAGAGGTAAAGGCTATTGGGTGGTCGCTTTGGCACACGCCAAGTCAGCCGAAATCCTTGAGTTCAGGGATGAGATCCGAACGCGCAATTTTTACCCCTAACAAAAATGCGCCTTACGGTGGACAGGATTGACTCCCTCCGTAAGGCGCCTTTTTGTTAGGGGTAGAAATCGCGCGTTCGGATCTCACCCCTGAACTCAAGGATTTCTGCTGACCTGACGTGTGCCAAAACGACCATCCAGTAGCCTTTACCTCTCAGTGCCCGTGCGGAGCTTCGTCCCACATCGACTGAGAGTCGTCTCCCCCACCCCCTTATAAGCCTGAGCCCCTGTGGGTACCCATCCCTAAGGGGCTCAGGCTTCCCACATCGACTGAGAGTCGTCTCCCCCACCCCATTATAAGCCTGAGCCCCTGTGGGTACCCATCCCTAAGGGGCTCAGGCTTATAAGGGGGTGGGGGAGACGACTCTCAGTCGATGTGGGACGAAGCTCCGCACGGGCACTGACAGGTAAAGACTACTGGGTGGTCGCTTTGGCACACGCCAGGTCAGCCGAAATCCTTGAGTTCAGGGATGAGATCCGAACGCGCGATTTCTACCCCTAACAATTGTCTATTGTGTACGGATTCCATCAGTTGACTCGGGATTGTTTTAAAGTTATTTACTAGGTTCTTATTGATTCAGAATTATTGCATTGAGTAACAAGACTGAACTGCATGTTGTTTTATGTGTCATATCCTTTAATGTCATCAGTTATTTCAGGGTCTTGCTTTTGGTTTTATTTTATCTTCAATTACTGAATTACATTAGGTGTTATGATACAAATAGGTTATGGAAAGCGCCGCATTTTATTTGCACTTGCAATATGCAAGAACTTGAAGACATTGTTTGAGAGAGTTTATTAAGAATAATAATAATCATTATGACATATTTGGTTTCTTGGTTTTCTTGAGAAATGGAAGTTTTGACAGAGCTAATAACTCCAGGATGGGCAGTGGACCTGTATTCATTTCTTAGCATTTTTTTGGGCTTTGGTTTCAATGTAGTTCAAAAGAATTCCGCTTTTTGTTATTCTATCGGGATGGAGAGCTCATGTGATTCGTTGGCTCTTTTTTCTTCGTTGTTTTTAATTTTTTTTTCTTAGTTGGATCTCTTATCCAACCTTTTGTTATGTAATTTACCTCTTATTTATTAATACAAAAGATATTTTCCTATCAAAAAAAAAAAATAAAGGATGCGCTGTGGTTTATTCTACAGACTCAAAGATTATGTCTTCAGTGATAGGCACCTCCTTCCAACTTAATATGAGTGGTTTCATTTTCTTCTACTGTCTCCATAACCTGTCTTTCTCATATTTCTAATATAGTTTCTTTTCCAAATCCTTCATATTATTTCAAGTGTTTCTAGATGATATGGAAGTAAATGTGATCTAGGATTTATTGTTGTGTATGATGCTACTGATGAGTGAGTGCCTCTTTTAAATTCACACATGCAAACACCCAGAACCACTAAGAACAATTTGTTGATAATCATGGTCGGTTTCCAATGTTCCTATGTGTGAGTGGCATAATTTTAGTTTACTTCCTTTGTCATCATTTTAACTTTTAATTATATATAGTTTCCTTGACCAAGCCTTATTGCCTTACGCCATCACTGTCCAGAGTTCTGACCTATCATGGGTTGCTGGGGAAGTTACTGTTAGTGATATGCCATAGTTAAAGCAGCTGAATCCTTTCTGAATTGATTGCAAAAAACTCTTGGAATTCTCAGTGTATGGCTTTGTTCTTAGAGAGCAACTGTGACACTGGGTGGCTTTTCATTTTTGTGGGCTCCATACTGTGAAAATTTGGATACATTATTTTCTGAATTTATCTGTGAGTTTATGTAGTATTCTTTTTTCCTGCTTCATTTTGAAAGGGGATGGGTAATGTAAAAGGACACTTCCCTGGCTTTTGCCTATATAACTCTAAAATTTGATAACATTGATGTTGAACCACCATTTTCTCTAAAAAGGTTAAGCTATTGGCTACTGTATCGGATACGATACTTGTCGCATATTTGAAGATATGCATCATACATATTCGATAATTAATAAAATATACTTCGCGGATACTTCTAAATATGGAGCAAGATGTATAATTTTTAATTTTGATCCATATCCTCTCCTTTCGAGTTCATATACAATACAAAAATATTAACAAAATTTCATTTAATTTTGAAGACACGTGTGTTTTAAGTATTTTCTACTATTACATGTCAAAAGGGTATTATGAGTTAGTTATATTACAATCTTAGAAACAAATACTAGTAAACAATTCAATTAGTTAAATGCTGGTTTTGATTCCTTTAATTGGTTCCTTTCACTTCATGAATATATTATAATGAGATGATATTACATCTTATTCAAGGTAAAAATTCTTAATATTGCTTATTATTGTTAAAGAATTATTAAAAATTATAATTTTTAAATTGTTAAATAATAATAAAATATAAAATATATGTTATTATAAGCATATCTTGGTCGTATCCATATCTTGTTTTTTCAAGTTTTGTTATATCACCGTATCCGTATCTGTGCGTTCTATGCTTTAGTGATGGGTGTAACATAAGTATTTATCTTATACTCCCCGACATGTGTGGCCCCTTTTGGCTGGTCTGGCCACGTGATATTTTTTGGGAGGTAAGGGAGGAGGCGGTGGTGTGATTTGAACTCAGGATCTCTAGACTCTGATACCAGTAGTTGGGAAATAATTTGTATGGGATAGCTCTGATAACCTTTGTTGGGAGACGCGTAGGTTGAATGATACAAGACCCAACACACGTTTGGAAGTCGTAAATTTAGCATGTAACTGGTAATTTGTTTTGTAGATTTTTCTTTTTTGGATGTTGACCTATAAATGCTAACAGTCACACAGACTGCAGATCATGAGCAACTACTATTTAATATGTTGTGTCTAATAGGCTTCCAGCACTTAATATTATTTTAAGGTTTTCTTTAAGTTGTCGATTTGTCATGTCTTGTGATGACTGCGTACTGGTTTTGTTTGGTGATATCCATGTCACTTACCATTTTGACTGTGTCAATGTCTTTGCACAAATCATAGGTTTGTTTCAGCATTTTTGTGAAGTCTGAGAGGCTAAATTCATGTCTACTCCATCGGACATGACAGAAACCGGCAAGGATAAGCCACAGTTAATTTTCAGTGATATCCTATATTAGAATAAAATCAACTGTGCCGATGATTTCCCTTGACTTTTCTTGTGGAGAAGTATTTAGGGACATCCAAGAAAGGAATCTGGACCCTTCTTTAGTGATGCAGTATTTAATCACTGGTTGATTCAGTTTGCATTTTGAAATATGTAGAACATTATTCCTGTCTGTGGCTGGTTGTAAGCCTTTGCATGGTTCTTCACCCCATCCCTCCTTTTCGTTCTCTCTTTTGCATGGGAAGAGGCGATTAGGCTGATTCTTCAGAGCAGATATGCAAATTTGTCTGGAACATGAAAGTTCTTTTGAAGAGATCAACTATTTGTCAGTTTCTATTGAACCTAGGTTACTGCTTCAGTTACTAAACAGTGTAATTTCTGATGCAGTGGTAGCAATGATCACACGACAAAGTTCTGGTGCAGAAATAGGCCTGGAGATCCAGCTCGTGATAAATTCATCGTAGGCCAAAGCCAAGGTTTGGACTATTCTCCCCTTGTTAAGTTAATCCTTTTTGGACACAATGGAGCTTTCTAGTTTGGATTCTGACAGTTTCTACTCGTAGAATTGCATAAACCAGTGGAAGCTGAGAATATTTTCATGGAGAATTCCTTGTATCAGAAGAAAATATCATGGAACTGAACTGTTTGCCATTGCATTGAGCATTCATTATCCATTCCCCAATATGTCAGGCCAAAATAGAAACTGTGCTTAAGAATTGAGACAAAAATAACCGAGTTGCTTCCTTTCATTTATTAACAGTTTTGAATATTACTAGGTTTTGGTGAGCAAAATTCTGCTCTTGCCGCTCGCATGCCTGGTAATTTCCCTGGGCCCGAGGCCCCAACAACTCCAGGACCATTTGCTGCTGGGTTAACAAGAAATGAGGGAACCATTCCAGGGGTTGGAGTTGCAATGCCATTTTCTATTCCATCTCTTGATTCATCAGCCCATGGAGAACAGAAGCCATCTGTTTCAGTATCAATGCCTTTAGGAGCTCCTCCTCTCCCGCCTGGTCCACATCCGTCTCTTCTTGCAGCTAATCAGCAGCAAGCATATCAACAAACTGCTCAGCATGTCCAGCAGCAACACCAAGGACTACCCCAGCAAATGATGTCTTTGCCTTTGCCACCACCGAATTTGCCACAGCTGCAGCCCCCATCCCATTTACCTCTCCTACCACATCCTCATTTACGCCCTCCACACCAGTTGCCACCACTTAATATGCCTTCAAACACCCCGTCTTCGATGCCAGGATCTTTGCCCATTCCATCAATGCCCTCTTCGATGCCAATGCAGATGCCTGGTCCAATGGTATTACTTTGCATGCATTTCCACTTATAATCACTTTCTGCTATTGTTTTTGACTTGGGTGCTGGTTGGCTCTGGTTCCTCTTTTTGTAGTTCTGTTTCACTCTAGGAAGCACGGATTCACTCTAGGAAGAACGGATACGCACACGGGGATACAATAAAGTTCACAATTATGGGACACGGGTACAATAAGGATATGACTATTAAAATAATATAATATATATTTTAAATAATAATAGAGTTGTAATATATTAAAAATAAAGGATATATTATAACAATATTAATAATAAGACCTAACAAATATTATTTTTTTTGATTAAAATTGAAATAGATCAAATTAAATATCCACCATTTTCATCAAACATCATTGCATCTATTAACATTCATAGTATATAAATTACATAACAAAAAATATATTAAAAATAAAGTAAAAATCACACTCCTTTTAATTGTTAAAAGCTACTTTTTAATAAAAAAATTCATGGCCATGTCCTGACGATGTCCGACTTAATTCACTATTTAGAACACTTCTAGCTGTGTCGGACATGTGTCCGACACTGCCACGACACCCCTGTGGGAAATATCCGTGCTTCCTAGGTTTCACTATTTTTTTCCTCCATTTTTTTTTTTGTGGTTTCTTTACTCAGAAGACTTTTGCTCAATAATTTTTGAAAAAACTTATATATATATATGATAACTATGCTTTCTCGTGGTGCATGCCATGAAGGGCATGCTGTGCTATACTGCTTGCAAGTTATAATTGGAAACTTGTAGGATGAGGACTTGGAGATGAACTATGGTACAGGACTCCCATGAGAATTCCATGTTTTTGGTGATACCTTTTCTTTGTGTGGAGGGACACTGTTCACATCCCCTGATAACGAGGGTTTACTTTTTTTTTTTTTTTTTTTTCTTTTTCCAGCTTTGTGATGTAATTTTTGCAACTTACTTAATTGTTCCATTGAAATGATGGGCTCATACCCCCACCTCATTTATAGGTTCATTGAACCCATGCCGTAATATGGGGACCAGGAAGAAGTCTAGTGTACAGGAAAATTTTGGACCACCTTTTATTGACACATTCTTACTTCCAGGGTATGCAAGGTACAATAAATCACATGGTTCCTCCACTACAGCAAGGCCATTTCATGGGCATGAATCCCATCCACTCAGGATCTGTATCACAGGGAGGAATTCCAAACGGGTTGCCTAATATGCAGGGCCCTTCAAATGCAGGTGGTGCCCAAATGTATCAACCAGGGAGTGCATTCAACAGGCCACAAGCTGGGCAGATGCCACCGATGCTGGGGCTCAATCCCTACCAGGTGACAGATGATTCTTTCTCTTCTAAGTTGGTTTGGAGGGTTGCCTTCCAATCAATTGATGTGGGTTACAAGATCTCTTTACTTTTACTTCCGCTGAATTTTTGCTAATTGAAAATTACTATCAAAGTGAGGGGAGGGAGAGAGAGAGATGTTTTTATTTTAGAGATGAAAAAAGATGCATACAAAGATATAAAAGTCATTTCAACATAGTATTTTATAGAAATTGGTGGAGTAGGAACACTTTGTCAAAGTGTTTGGATATGATATTTGTCGGGTACTCTATTGGATACGTACCACATGCATGGAATAAGTTATACAATATTTCTATTTTTTGAATACGTCTTGAGTATAGGTAATCCAAGACCAATGTGCTTCAAATATAGAGTTGGACTAGAATTCACTGAACTCCTGACGACTCTCGATCTAGGTAAATCGATTCCAAACAGGGTGGTTTTGTGATCCAGATCATCAAAATGTACGGTCCCAAATTGTATATGTAGTACAAATATAAAATGCATATTAGTTAATTACGTGTATATATATCTATAATTATATATTGTTTTAGATAACAGAAAGTCGAGTACAAATGTAATTTAAATGGTAATTGACTTAGTATTTATGGATGTTCTATGATATATAATATTATATAGTGGTGAAAGCAATCTAGATAAGAGTTCCCAAATGAATTGCGATCCAAAAAATCATACCAATTGAGCCTACCCCTATCATATAACGTACCTAAGAAAGTGTCGTCCCATGTACACGTGCCCATATCACATACCAAAACGACTCACGATCCAGTTAACGTTGACCCGGATACGCGAAGCAATATATATAATTTCTAATATTAATCATTTACCCCCTCCTCTCGAAGTCACATAACAATAATACACACAAGAAAATTCATGTTGCTTTGAAGACGTGGGTGTTTCTACTACAAGATGTCAAAAGGACATGTATTAGCTAACTATACCGTATCTCTTTTTAATGAGTACGTCAAAGCAAACCAACTAGTTAAATGCTAGTTTTGATTATTTAGTTAGAAACATTCAATTTGGATATATCATGATATGACAATCTATATTTCTTTGAAATAGGTATCTTATTTTTAGGTTTTGCTGTGCTTCTAGATTGAAATATTTTCTTTCAACCTTTGACCTTCAATTTTAGAAATTCAAACAATGACCCAAAAGTGTAAGGGTGTGAAATATAATTTTCAAGCACTAGGAAGAAAATTGTTGAAGACCTAAACTACTAGGAGGTAAAGTGTAACTTGCTCCTATGACAAACGCCTAGTCTTAAGGAAATCTTTCACTGAAGGATGTCACCTGGATTTTGTCATACACCAACTCATAATTTCCTGCATTATGTATACAGGGCCACAAAAATCACTTACGCGATTCCTGTGTGCATGCTTGTGTTGATATGTTTAGGAGAACTCATAATTGTGATGGCTTTTGTCGTATGCGTACCCCTTTGAAATGGCTTGAAATTTTCTTGGTTTAGAGAGTGTTTGGTTGCTCACATTGCAAGTAACGAGGTGCTGCCTCTGGGAAATCTCATTTTTTTTTATTTAGGTTGTTGGTGTGAAGGATGAGGTGAGGGGAAAGTTTGAGGACTTGAGATTGATTAGAGTTTAATGATATTGAATCTAAAGAAGAAGAGTAAGTAAGCCTGTAGACGGAGAGGTATCTTGAAATATTCTACTGTAAATCTCAAATAATAGACCAAGTAGGGAAGACTCTGGGAATCCAACCAAAAATTCCCAATTTTAAACCACCTAAAGTAAGGTTGTAATGAACTCTAGGCACTCAAACTGCATCTTCATTCTACTAAAATAATTTTTAATACGTATTGGTTCAAAGGTTGGCTAAGTAGTACTTAGTGGCCACATAAACATAGAGATTAAGCAATTCTTGATGGTAAAGATCTAAGTGTGTTGGCTATTTAAGTTTGTATAATCCTACTGAAGTCCAATTTGAACAACCCAAATGCATGACTTGATCTAAATTAAGGGTCATTGTGAAATGCCCTCAAGGGCCTCAACAAAGTTGACTTCGAATACCTGATACAATATAACACAAAACTCCTACAGCAGCAAATCAAACTAAATCTCGGTTAATGTGAAACTTGATTTTGTCCTTTTACCTTCACTTGTGAAAAGAATGTTAAATCCCAACATGTTGGCTATATTTCCAAAATTAATAATTTGATGTTTGAGTTATGGGCAAATCTAAGAAATATAGGAGACATGCTATGGGGTACCCGAGAAGTGTCATCCTGAAATGTATTGATCATAAACATGGCTCCTTGTTAGTTTGACTCTGCTGAGACCGTACGAATCTGATGTGAGATGAACCTGGTGCCAGTCCTATGAATGTTTGTTTTGTTTTTTGTTTTCTTTTTTAAAAGCTGCTTGTTGAACTTTTGTTTTTTGATTGTTATATGTCATATTGGCTTATACACCAGAACTACCTGGGATAGTTATCTTTACATACTACGATTGATGTATATACCATGTCATTGCATACGCCTTTGAAGAATTTGTCTGTGGGGTTTAAGCTGATTGTGAATTAATAATCTTTGTCTGGCTAATACCTATACAGGAAAAAAATATATATATTTCCAACCAATCCTGACGTGAGCTATTTCTTACTGCAGTCTGGTAATCCGAATGCTGCAGGCATGGGAACATTGCAAACAAATTTTGGTATGCCGTCTGGTATGCATCCGCCGCTGCCTCCAGGTCCCCCACCACATGGCCAAACACCTCAGTAGATCATGTATAGTACCATTCATCAGAGCTTGTATGAGCCGTTGGCTAGGGCTATGGGAATGCAACAAACTCTCTCTCTCTCTCTCTCTCTCTCTCTCCAGTGTTTCTTTTGTTGTGGTTGCTCACTTATGCTACCTGTACAATCTAATTTAAAATTTTCATGAGATAGCTCTTTTCTTTTTATTCAGAGTTTTTAAACAGAAGTCTGAGTGACTTCATAAATTCGCTGCTTTTGCTTTGATCCATGGCTGAAACAAATTTCAGCTTGTTTATACTTCATGGACTTAGATGGAGGTATTTACTGTGGATTGTTATTTTTGAAGAAGTTGAAGGGGAAACAAAGAGGGGTCTGTGTTTAAACTTCTTAAGGTTGGGGCAAATTTCCAGCCCAAAACAATGTTTTTGGCTCAAAACTAGTGTAGTATTATACATCATATTCATAACATATTTTGAAAGGGCCTGGACCAAAACTTTCGATTAGGGCCGTTGAAGTATGGACGTGCCTTTATACATTTCCTTTTACCATTTTCGATGTTATGTCAGGTTGAAGTTCTCAATGGAAGAGCGTTTGTTTAGTATAACATTTTTGGTTAATAGTATTTCTGATCTTTAAAGTATGTTTATTTTGTCACTTTAGTTTTGAATACATTAATTTTATTAATTTGATCTTTAAAATATTTAGTTCGTGTTTAAATGATCCATACACAAATAACATGTTAAGTTTTTGACAGAATTAATCACGTGAAATTGTTTAGAAGAATGACAATAGATAATTTTTGTCAAAAATTATGACGGACTGTCTAATTGAAGACCATTTAACAACGAATTGACTTAAGGAACCAAATTAACAAAATTAATACATTGAGGAACAAATTAATAAAACGAGCATATTTGAAAGACTAGAAGTGTTATTAACCCTATAGTTTTTTATATTTTACATAGATTTACTCTTTATCCAAACTTAATCGTATGTATAATACATTAGCAAATGGTAGATAAGTTATTCGAGAAAGAGAGGATAATAAACAACGCATGCCATAAATGTTTTAGCTCATGGAATTTAAACTTGAAATAATTTTATTTTTAGGTCTCTCTCTACCCCCTCTCGCACGTGCACATACGAGGAGTGTGAGTGTTTTTGTTTTTGGGAGAATTATATCTAAATTTCTGAGATTTGTCACTTAATCACTCAAAATTCCTGACATTTGAAATATTATATACAAACTTTTTGAAATTTGTACGTGCGTAACACTTAAACTCCTGCCGTCAATGTCCGTTAGTATATCCGCTAGTAAATTAAACTTTCTTAAGTTTATAAGCGTATAAAAATTTAATTTTATCTTAAAATATCGTAATTAGTATATAATTATAACATCAAAATACATTTTACACATTATCATCTCATAACATAAAACATCATTCAAATTTCTTTTAATACATTTATCATCGAGTGAAACCGATGAAAGAAGGTACGGAGTGGATCCAAATCGATAAAGACAACCATTCATGGCATAACACTTATTTAGGTAGTGAAATTATTTTCCACCAAGAAATTGCAGGCCAACCATATAGCAATTTATGTTATCTGCTCTTTTTTTAGACATCCCTGTGTGGCGGCACTGGCACCACTGCTAGAGCACTCCTTGCCATACCCATATCTGAAAACTAAAAAGTACTATGTCAATACCAAAATAATGCTCCAAGAAAATTCAAGAACATGTCTTAGTAAAACATAGTGATGGACCCATAACTTAGGCATAGAAGGGATTAAAGTCCTTGAAATTATGACAATTAGTTCACAAATTTATGTATTAAAAATGTTGCAATGTGACCTTTATGTTAGTTTTTCGTTAATTTTTTCGTCTTTGTCAATAAGTTGACTCTTGACGAAAAAAATAACAGAAATTAATAGAAGGATTATATTACAATATTTTTGATACATTGAGGGTACAATATGAAAAATTTAATCTTTGAGTGTACAAAGTAAAATTTTTAAAATCTTTCAGGATGCAAAGTGTGAAAAACCCTTGAAGTTTGCCAAACCTACTATGTCTACATATGTGTGATTTTCACACAAATTGTTGTGGTCGAGACTACAAGATAATCAATAAAATAAAAGAGAATAATACAAAAGGCACAAATTTACGTAATTTAACCCAAAAACCTACGTCTATGTTCCAAATATATAATATTTGTAACCCAATTAAGTTGTTAACTTTCAAACTCAGGACGTTTGAGTTTATAACTCATTTCTAAGGTAAGTCATACACTGGAATAAAGTTTGCTAAGAGTTTTCAAATAATATCCAACAAGTTTCATGTTAGTATGAAGTAATTTTGGATCAAGAAAAAAGACTTAATGTAATTTCTCAAGCAAAGCAAACACAAGTAAATCAGAGAAATCCCTAACCAGAAGGATAATCAATTTTTTGAGCATGAAGTGGCTCCGGAGAAGAAGGCGATCCATCGATCATGGAGCAACAGATGAACGTGCACGATCCTTTGCTTTCCGGCCCAAAAATCGTCGATGAAACATCGTCTTGATCTGTGCTGCTATCACTATAAGTATCAATGGCTTTCTTCTTCTCCTTCTTCGAGCAACAGAGCCAAAAGGAATGGCAATAGTAACCACTCTTCTTTTCTTTCATGGATGTCATGGTGATTATGACTATAAGTGAGTGAGTGTCTAGACAAGTGAATGAAGCAAACACAGGATTAGATATTCTGAATACTTACAAATATATAGACTTGGAATGCTCACCATATCAAACTAAGCTAGATTAGCCATTAAGTAATTATACTAACGCCTATCAATTTTAGACACAATTTGCAAACTCTACGCGGAATCAATTTGTAAAATTAACAGGTTTGGATTGAGTTTTAATTAGTTCAAGCGGTAAGCAAGTATATTCGTTAAACTCGTCAAATAAATTTGTCAACACGAATTTGGCTAAATATGATACATACCTACTAAACACGGTTTATACATGACATGAAATTGGACTATAAATTAATATAAATAGATCGGGTATGAATGAAATAAATTTTAATCCGATACAACACAAACCCAACATTATACAACCCATTATCATCTATGATTATACTAAATCTATGTTGATTTTTGGAGCTAAGATAGAAGTTTATTATTTTTTTATCCCTATTTAGAATCATTTTATCTTCCTAATATTTGAGATTGTCACGTTAATTACCTTTTACAGTTTTGAACCAAAGTGTAACCTTTTATATTTGAGATTGTTTTATAAAGTTTTTCTTCAAAACATTTCATCTTTATTGAAAAAAATACCCCTTAAACTACAAGAGGTAAAATAATCATTTCATTGTTTCTATTAAAAGCATTGGCTCTTTCAATTGGATCCCTAACTATAGGAAGGTAATTTCGGGGTGGCAAATTAATTTTGATCCAAACGAGTAAAAAATTATTACTCCATACATGTATGCATACACACACATGAAAATAATATATTTTTTTCTTGTGGGAGGGAGTGAAGTTTGAACCTACGACTACTTGCGGGGGAGAGTTAATCCTTGCTACTGGGCCATTCCTCACCTCGAATAATATCTAACTAGGTTGGTCCCTCTTAATTGGGGAATGAAAGAGGGAATAGATACAAACAAAATCTTCAAATGATCAAGATATAAAAATCTAGTATTATAGGATTAGAAATCATCGTTTATTCACCTATTTGATAAATAGGTGATGTCTTATCTAGAGTTGATTTAGAGAGAAATAAGGTATGTATGGAATGTTACATGCACATGGTTTTTTTGGGTTAAATATAAATAATCTCTATGTATTTTGATATGATTCTGTATTTATGTAACCGTTATCTTTTCCATTTAATGTTTTATATGTCAGACTACAGTAATGGGAAATTAATTTTTTAATTGCTTAGACGTGAATGACTTACTATATCAAACTTGCATATCAATTTTAACTTTTTGCAATAGGGTATTAAAGTTTGCGTTGACTATTCCATCAAGTTCTGAGACCGGCTACCATATCTTGAGTTAGTTTAAAGACATATTTCCTAAAGAACAAGGATGATTGACCTTTAAAAGATGTGAAAAATATCAAACCTGAGATATCTTGTTTGTAAAAAGACAGACTTGACCACTAATGATTATTTTGGCTCATTAGTTCGTAACAAATTGAGGTTTTGTTTTGGGAAATTGACTTTTTCTGTAGTCGGAACTCAAAAACATGTTCAATTGACTGTCAATAACATAATTTTACATTATTTGCAATGAATTCATTTTTTCACAATAAACCTTTTTCGTGTTAATGTATTTTGTATTTTGTAGTTGTACGACATCTATAAAATAAGGGAGCCAGGCGTTTGAATTTATCCCCACATATTTCTTTCACTCATTTTTATCACATTGATAATTTCTATCACAAGTTGAATTATTTAATTTTTGATTCAAAATACAATTTTTATTTTGAATATTGTTTATATATTGCTTTAACATTAGTCTGATAACATATAAGTGCATGTTTGAAAAACCTAGACATAGGGAGAATTTAAGGCCATGGAATTGGTTATGGTGGGGATGAAGATAACTATTGTTTTTAAAAGATCCGACTCCTTTAAAAAAATAATAGTCGATCTGATCCAAATAATTAAACTAGACCTAAATTTCTATAAATTATATTTCAATTTCAACACAATATTGTTAAATAACCACTCAATTTTAATTAGTATATATATGATACCGGATCACAATCAAGTCCAATTTTTGTATGTTCATATTTGTTTAAACTTGACTCTAATATTTTTTTAGATAACTTTTTAATGGGGGAAAATTCTAAATAATTTTCAAAATTTCCAAATTTTACATGAAGCCCAAAAGTTTTTGAAATCCCTGAGTATAATTATTGATTTGTCAAGAGAAATAACCTAATTTTTAGCCCCATGCAAAGGTGTTTTTCTAACAATAACAAGCCCCTTTGAGGTTTGTGATAATTACTTTAGGTATCTTGAACAAAACAAATTCATCAAAATTTTGATTAATTTAAGAACAACTTCTCTATTTCTCTCATCCTAGGGGAAATTAGACCTTTCAATCAACTACACAACACCACTATGTTAATTTCTCAGACAAAAAAAATGCATCACATTACCAGAAGATTCTCCGATCTTTAGGAAATAAATCTACAAATTCACCAAAGTTGTTACTCAAAATGATCCACGAGCGATGCTTGTGCAATACATGTGTACACCAATTAATAATTATAAATGTGGGGTTTCACACTCTCGCCAAAAACACGTTTCAAACCCGACAAGTTTCTCTCTCTCTCTCTCTCTCTCTCACATACACACACATACATAAATAGGATAGAAAAATAAAAATNCATTAAGTAATTATACTAACGCCTATCAATTTTAGACACAATTTGCAAACTCTACGCGGAATCAATTTGTAAAATTAACAGGTTTGGATTGAGTTTTAATTAGTTCAAGCGGTAAGCAAGTATATTCGTTAAACTCGTCAAATAAATTTGTCAACACGAATTTGGNCAGGTTTGGATTGAGTTTTAATTAGTTCAAGCGGTAAGCAAGTATATTCGTTAAACTCGTCAAATAAATTTGTCAACACGAATTTGGCTAAATATGATACATACCTACTAAACACGGTTTATACATGACATGAAATTGGACTATAAATTAATATAAATAGATCGGGTATGAATGAAATAAATTTTAATCCGATACAACACAAACCCAACATTATACAACCCATTATCATCTATGATTATACTAAATCTATGTTGATTTTTGGAGCTAAGATAGAAGTTTATTATTTTTTTATCCCTATTTAGAATCATTTTATCTTCCTAATATTTGAGATTGTCACGTTAATTACCTTTTACAGTTTTGAACCAAAGTGTAACCTTTTATATTTGAGATTGTTTTATAAAGTTTTTCTTCAAAACATTTCATCTTTATTGAAAAAAATACCCCTTAAACTACAAGAGGTAAAATAATCATTTCATTGTTTCTATTAAAAGCATTGGCTCTTTCAATTGGATCCCTAACTATAGGAAGGTAATTTCGGGGTGGCAAATTAATTTTGATCCAAACGAGTAAAAAATTATTACTCCATACATGTATGCATACACACACATGAAAATAATATATTTTTTTCTTGTGGGAGGGAGTGAAGTTTGAACCTACGACTACTTGCGGGGGAGAGTTAATCCTTGCTACTGGGCCATTCCTCACCTCGAATAATATCTAACTAGGTTGGTCCCTCTTAATTGGGGAATGAAAGAGGGAATAGATACAAACAAAATCTTCAAATGATCAAGATATAAAAATCTAGTATTATAGGATTAGAAATCATCGTTTATTCACCTATTTGATAAATAGGTGATGTCTTATCTAGAGTTGATTTAGAGAGAAATAAGGTATGTATGGAATGTTACATGCACATGGTTTTTTTGGGTTAAATATAAATAATCTCTATGTATTTTGATATGATTCTGTATTTATGTAACCGTTATCTTTTCCATTTAATGTTTTATATGTCAGACTACAGTAATGGGAAATTAATTTTTTAATTGCTTAGACGTGAATGACTTACTATATCAAACTTGCATATCAATTTTAACTTTTTGCAATAGGGTATTAAAGTTTGCGTTGACTATTCCATCAAGTTCTGAGACCGGCTACCATATCTTGAGTTAGTTTAAAGACATATTTCCTAAAGAACAAGGATGATTGACCTTTAAAAGATGTGAAAAATATCAAACCTGAGATATCTTGTTTGTAAAAAGACAGACTTGACCACTAATGATTATTTTGGCTCATTAGTTCGTAACAAATTGAGGTTTTGTTTTGGGAAATTGACTTTTTCTGTAGTCGGAACTCAAAAACATGTTCAATTGACTGTCAATAACATAATTTTACATTATTTGCAATGAATTCATTTTTTCACAATAAACCTTTTTCGTGTTAATGTATTTTGTATTTTGTAGTTGTACGACATCTATAAAATAAGGGAGCCAGGCGTTTGAATTTATCCCCACATATTTCTTTCACTCATTTTTATCACATTGATAATTTCTATCACAAGTTGAATTATTTAATTTTTGATTCAAAATACAATTTTTATTTTGAATATTGTTTATATATTGCTTTAACATTAGTCTGATAACATATAAGTGCATGTTTGAAAAACCTAGACATAGGGAGAATTTAAGGCCATGGAATTGGTTATGGTGGGGATGAAGATAACTATTGTTTTTAAAAGATCCGACTCCTTTAAAAAAATAATAGTCGATCTGATCCAAATAATTAAACTAGACCTAAATTTCTATAAATTATATTTCAATTTCAACACAATATTGTTAAATAACCACTCAATTTTAATTAGTATATATATGATACCGGATCACAATCAAGTCCAATTTTTGTATGTTCATATTTGTTTAAACTTGACTCTAATATTTTTTTAGATAACTTTTTAATGGGGGAAAATTCTAAATAATTTTCAAAATTTCCAAATTTTACATGAAGCCCAAAAGTTTTTGAAATCCCTGAGTATAATTATTGATTTGTCAAGAGAAATAACCTAATTTTTAGCCCCATGCAAAGGTGTTTTTCTAACAATAACAAGCCCCTTTGAGGTTTGT